TGAAATGATTGCTTGCTTTTTTGTTGTTGTTGCACACATGCACATATGTATGTGTTGAGTTTGGTTTCTTTTTTTCACTTCGAAAATTTCCCCCCATCCATTTAAAACTTTCGAATTAATTTTGTTATTATGTAACTTAAGCGAAGCCACAAGACTGGATTTACGTAGTTGTTGTTGTTGGTTGACAGTAGTATTTTTTTTAATATTGTTTATATTATGGCATGGTTGGTTGGTTGGTGGGGGGCAACAACATGCCATGTGTGGTGCTTAACATTCATTTTGTTTATTTTTTATATATAAATATAATTTTTTTTATATTCATGTTTGTGATTACTACGGCAAATACAATATGTAGACTTCAACATGGAGTTATAAAAATGATATCGTGAATTATAGCTAGATATGCTTTCCATTTCATTTTGTTTTATTATGTTGATTATCAGTGTAAATTCCATTCCATTCAACAACATATGATAACAATCGAATCGAAGAAAATCACGAAACAGCAGAAGTTAATGATGAGAGTTGATGGGATAGCGCCGCCATGGCAGAGATCGTCTTCGTTGTCATGCACCACAAGCTGCTGGTGACTGGTGATAGTTTCGGATGAAAATATCTTTAGTTTTTTCATTTTTAATTTTTTTGATTATTTTCACTTTTGCTTTCAATTTTTTCCAAACCAAAAAAGGTGAAAAAATCGTTTCGCTTTTGCGTAATAATTGAAGCTATGCTTCATTTTCTTTATCATTATGCATGTGTGTGTGTGTGTGTGCGAGTGTGCTATTGACTTTTGTGAAAGTCAAAATGAAATTAAGCCATACGCCAATGTTGAAGGTGAAATACATGTTATTATAGGGGAAAACTATGGGAAAATTACAATTACACACAAACAAATATCATTAACGTAGGAGCGGGAGTATTTTTCAAATTAAAATAATTTTAAATAATCACAGTGATTTACTCGGGATAATATTGTTGCGCGTGAATGCATCTCAATAGTACATTAAAGCTTTGCTTTACGTTTTGACTAACTGCTCCAACCGGTTTAAATGTTGGCAGCACTGTTCTCATATGTTAAAGGGCAATTTCAACGTCAATGCACATTAAGGGTGTTCACAGTGTGGACTAAATGTAAATTTTCACATTGAAATAAAACAAATTATGAAAACGTTTAACCAACAACAATGAAAAAAAACTAACAACAATGCAACAATTAAAATAACAACATTTTAATATTAGGGGTATTCTTAATGCCGAAGAAAAGAGAAAAAAATAGCTCAACTATGGCAGTAAAATTCAAAGTCGTGTATTCTTATAAGAATATACTGTAAAAAATCACCCAATTTATAATAATTTGGAGGTTGATTTGGCAGCATTGTTATGATTAATTTGGTTGTGTTTACATGTAATGTAAATTTAAACAATCGATAAACAGTGTTTAATAGATTCCACCAAAGATTTTTTGATAAATTTTCCAACATTGTTAAAATAGGGATATAAAATTTCGTATTTTTGGTTTAACAGTGTCAAATCATATGAAATAAAAGCTATGACTATTTTGCAAAAAACAAAATACAAATGGTATCCCAAATAAACCGCCAACACTACTAAAAGCAAAATAAATTAGTGCGCATATATCAAAGGTGTTCACAGTGTAAAGTCGTATAAAATAAAAAGAGAATTACTTCTTATAAATGTCTTAAATTAAAAAAAGGGAATTATGATTATCGAAAATCGGCTATTTTTTTGTAAAAAGGACTCTTAAGCTATCACCCCTGTATCACCAACAAACTAAAAATTTTGCCAAATAATTCTACCTAATATAAAATCAGGAGGAGGAACAAAATCTCAAAGGAAAAAATATCCTTGTATATTTATAAATCTTTAATAATAACCATGGTCATTGTCATATAACACCACCATCGATAAAAGTAGCAGCAGCTGCTACTGTAATTTATAAGAAACTACAAATCTTCTTGTTTAATATTTTTTATCCAGGTTTTAGCTTCTTTGTTTTTTTCTATTATAAATATTCCTCCGCCACCCTAACACAAACACCTAAACGTACGTGCCACACACTTTCTTGTGGTAAAAATTTACCGACAACAATATCAATACAATAGAACAAAACTCCATGTGTGTGCCCGGTAGGTGGGAAGCTGGAAGAAGAAGAAGAAAAAATGTGCGTGCCATAATCTCTTTGTTGTTGTTACTTTTCTTCTTTTTTTCCGTCCAGCTTGGTCTTGGTCACTCTTTAATATCATTCAAGTCACTCTGGGCCTCTTAGTTGTTGTTTTTACTTTTTCTTTTCTCATCTGCTTGTTTTATTTATTAGCCTCTACAGATGACTTTCTTTGTGATGAACATCACCACCTTTCTATTAAAAATAAAAAAACTAAATAAATGTTTGCTATTTAGGTGTGTGTGTTTTACTTAGCTTTCTACACATATTTTCTTTATTCTGACATTTTAACATTGTTGCTAGATCTTTAATTTCATTTCCCTTTAATAAATTCTACTTTGAGAATTCGTTTTTTTTTTTTTTTTTGTTTACATTCCAATGTTAAAAAAACTGAAGGTAACCTGAATAAGAGAAATGGGGTTTCTCTTGTTGTTTATATGGATTCAGCAAAATATTCATGCTTAATAATTTTGTTTATATGGAAAATAATTTAAAATAAATAATAATTCAAAGAAACTACGAAAGAATCTATTAAAAATAGATTTTATTTTAATTAAATATATTACGCTGGATTTAATAAATCAAATGGATTTCAATTGTCAATTATATTTCATATATATTTCAAATAAATTCACCAAAAGTAGATTTTAAATTACGCACGTCTCATTTAAAACAATCTATTAAAACAAATAATTAAAGTTCAGATATTTATGTTATTTGTTACATTAATATGTCTATATTCATTTATTTATTTCATATTATATTTGTTTTATTGTTTTTCTAAAATTTATATGAAAATTTTGTTTATTTCACACATTTCTCTCCTCACTGTTACGTTTCTAAGTCGCTTTTACGTGACTGCGTCTCAACTAACTACAATAAAATGCTAACTAGAAATATACCAAAAACTTGGCATCACTGTTGTCAGCTGTTTTTGCTGCCTTATCATTTTGTTTACATTTTACATTCTATTGGGCATACAAAGGAAATTAAACATTTTCTTTTATTAATAAAACATTTTAAAGTTTATAACGAAAGTAAAAAATTATAAAAACAACAACAATTGAAGGTATGTTTGGCGGTAAATAGCCTGTCCAACCGTTTAATGGAAATTTATTGGTTAGTTATTTTTTCCATAGACATCTGTCCATCTTTTCATCATTATCACCAACAACAAAAAGGACACGAAACTGTCACCTCATCTACAACAACCATAAGGTTTATAAAAACTAATTTTTTGTATAAAAATGTACTAAAATCGTCTTTTATTTTGTTGTAACCTTCATCACCTTTATTGCCAGCTGAGTTTGTTGTTTCCCCCACCCAGACTATTGTTAATCATTTAAGCCAGTCAGTCCCCGTGTTGTCCACCAAGTTTGTTCACCTTGTGGCAATTAAGCAAAGAAAAAATAATCATTTCAAGACCAACAACAACCAACAATGAAACCTTGACAATACCTTGAATGTCATCCTTTTGCACCTTTGGCATCTTTAAATGATTAGCGAGTGAAAACCACCACCATCACCACCGCCGTCATCATTATTGTTATGGGCACTTTAAACATTTCAACAAAGTTCCTTTTGATGGCCATATACACATATTTATAAAATAGCAAAATAACATATTTGTTGATAAACTGCATACGGAAGCAAAAGAAAATCTTTTTGTAACGATATTGAGTTGGTGGTGGTGGTGGCGTTGTGCTGTGAAATGTAGTAGGAGAACAACGGCGGATGCTGGCTCAGAGATTGACAAAAAGGACCTTTTACGCTTTGTTGGTGTAGAAAATGTCATCAAGCCCGCTAGTGTGTGTGTGTGTGTGTAAGGAAAAATTTACCTTGTCTGTTTGCTGCTGGTTTCTTCTTCATGGTGCCTGTGTTGGTGTTTTTAGAAAGATTTTTATAACACCTTGATGTGTTTTTGTTTTGTTCTCTCGCTGCCATTGTAATTGTTGTAAAAGAATTTACCTTGATTTTATTGGTGTGTGTGTGTATGAGTGTCCTTTCTCAAATTGCTACAATCTGCTCCTTGACAATAATTTTTTCGTTGTCCAAATTTTCTTCGTCATGGATTTTATTGTAAATCCATGGCTGCTGTTGGCGTTCACTTCATGCTTCACATTACATCTGCGTTTTCCTTTTACTGTGTGTGGTGTGACCATTGTTTTTTGGAAAAGTGGCACGACCTCCACAATGTCTATTAAGATTTCTTTGTTTTGCCATTTTGAAAAAGAAAATCCCTGAAAATATTCTGGAAATTGTGTTCATCATCACAAAACGGCAACTGTTGCAGTTCTAGTTTCCTGTTTCGCTGCGTTAGTTTTGGAATATGGTTAGGCCAGCAGAATTATTGATTTCAGTTTACCAAAGACTAGCATAGCATCAAGACGTCAGCCAACTCAAGAGAAATTTAACGAAACCAAACAAGAAATTCACTCAAAACTCAAATCGTCGTCTGCCATCTCATTCCTGTAACTTTTTTGTACAACAAAAACAAAACATCATCTTGTAATAATAACTGTTTATTTTGCCAAGCAAATATTTTTAGCACAGTTAATCTATTACAAAATTCACGAGCCCCTTGTTTTTTCTTGGATCATTGATTTTTAAACTAGACTCTAGATCACATTGTGTGTTTGTGTTTTGTTTTATAAAAAAATATCTCCAGTTTTTTGTTAAGTTTCTTATTTTATTGTTAAATTATTTAATTGTTGTTATTGTGTTAAATGTTTGTGCAAAAATTTTTAAATTGTTATTAAACATTTTGTCTGCGCGAATTATTGAAGAATTGTTTAAACAAATTTTGAGCCATCTTTTTTATTGTGGTATTGTGTTCGATTATTTTCCTCAAACTGGATAATAATTCGCTTTTATTAAAATTATTAAGTTTAATGTCTTCACCGCCGGCCTCGTCTTCTTTTTCTTCGTCGTCGTCATCATTGTCGCCCTCATCATCGTCCCTGTCGGATTATTCACCCTCAACTTCTAGTCCTGAATTAAATTCAAATTCCTCAACATCATCTGGTGCGTCTGGTGGCTCATCATCATCGGCAATTAAAGTTGAATTTGATCGCAACATCATGGATTTAGTATATCAGCCGAGGTGAGATGTTCGAAGGAGATGTGGGGAGGGGATATTTTGCATTTTTCAGCAAAAAAAAAAGATTTGCAACGAATTGAGGAAGCCACTGTTCTTTATATTTAAAATTAAAACCTTTTCCAATATTAATTTATTTAACAATGTCTCCATTTTTGAAATTGTTATTAATTTTCTTTTATTATTTTTTATTTAATTACAGATTGCCGGTGAACGAATGTCAGGCAAGTCAAACTGCTAGAGTGACATCGAACCTAAACGCATCCAGTAGTACAATGGCGGTTAGTCGTGTACCCTCACCGCCTTTACCGGAAGTTAATACACCGGTTGCCGAAAACTGGTGTTACACACAGGTAAGCAAAATCTTCTATTTTCGAGATCAAATCAAAAAATAAGAAAATCTCAAATCTCCTTTCCCAAAATCTTCTATTCACGAGATCAAATCAAAAAAGAAGAAAATCTCAAATCTCCTTTCCCAAAGATATTTGAAACCGAGATTTTATCTTCCTTCCTACTCAAATTACTTTAATCTTCAAAATCCTAATCCAAATCTCTTGCTCTTTGTCTTCTTTCAGGTGAAAGTGGTTAAATTTAGCTATATGTGGACCATAAATAATTTTAGTTTTTGTCGCGAGGAAATGGGTGAAGTCTTAAAGTCCTCAACATTTTCCGCCGGTGCTAATGACAAACTGAAATGGTAATTATCCAGATTTTGATTTAAACTTTCCAAGGTGGATTAGATTACTAACCATGTATTTTTTTCTTTCTGTTTCCCCTGCAGGTGTTTACGTGTCAATCCAAAAGGTCTAGATGAAGAAAGTAAAGATTATTTATCCTTATATTTATTATTAGTTTCCTGCAATAAATCCGAAGTTAGAGCCAAATTTAAATTTTCCATATTAAATGCTAAAAGAGAAGAAACCAAAGCCATGGAATCACAGAGGTATGTAGAACAAAACTAAATACAAATTACATTTTTTTGATCAAAAATCTTTGAATTTCACATTTAATTGTTATTAATAAATACTGTTTTTTATTCCAGAGCATACCGTTTTGTACAAGGCAAAGATTGGGGTTTCAAAAAATTCATACGACGAGATTTCCTATTGGATGAGGCCAATGGCCTATTGCCTGAAGATAAATTGACAATATTCTGTGAAGTTAGTGTAGTGGCCGATAGTGTTAATATCTCCGGCCAATCAAATATTGTACAATTCAAAGTGCCCGAATGTAAACTAAGTGAAGATTTGGGCAATCTCTTTGACAATGAGAAATTTAGTGATGTAACGTTAGCCGTGGGTGGCCGTGAATTCCAAGCACACAAAGCAATATTGGCAGGTAATTATCAACAACAACAATTTACCTCTTTTGTTAATAATTTTATTTCAATTAATTAATATTTGTTTTGTCTTTTCTATTCCATTCAACAGCACGCAGTGATGTCTTTGCAGCCATGTTCGAGCATGAAATGGAGGAGCGTAAATTGAATCGTGTCGCCATAACTGATGTTGATCATGAAGTTTTAAAAGAAATGTTACGTTTTATTTATACTGGCAAGGCGCCAAACTTAGATAAAATGGCCGATGATCTCTTAGCAGCAGCTGATAAGGTTTGTCATTTAAAATATATTTTTTGTTTTTTCTTTATATTAATTGTTGTTTTTATTAATTTTACAGTACGCTTTGGAAAAGCTGAAAGTAATGTGTGAGGAAGCGCTGTGCGTTAATCTCTCCGTTGAAACAGCCGCTGAAACATTAATATTAGCCGATCTCCATAGTGCGGATCAATTAAAAGCACAAACAATAGATTTTATTAATACGTAAGTATCTCTGCTACTCTTTTTTAAAATTTTGTTGGTATTTTTCTTGTTTTTTTAATTTTTGTGTGGCATTTATAAATGTTTTTTTATCATAGAAAAATATTGAAATCTTCTTGACGTATTGTTTTTTATTTATGTTAAACAACTTGTGGGACATTATTTATCTCTTTTTGTGCCAGATGTCATATTTTATAAATGATTTTTTGTTTTGAACATTTTTATGATGACAGTGTTGAAAATCACTTAAAATTTATGTTAATTGGATGAATGACAATTTATATGGCCGCAAATTAGATTAGGCGTATACAAAAATTATTATGTAGATTTTTTTCAAAAGTATTTTCCGCTGCAGCCTTAAAATTAAAAAAAAAAAAGTAAAAAAAATTCTAAAAATTTTATATATATATATATACATATTTTTTAATTTTTGGGAAAAACGAAATTATTTTTTTTAATTTTTGGGGAATTTTTTGAACAATTTTTTCAACATTTTAAAAAAATGTTTTTGGAGAAATTTAAAAAAAAATATTTTTTTAATTTTTGAAAAAATTTATTTATTTTTTTTGAAAAACTTTAAAAAATATATATTTTTTTTTTAATTTAAAAAAAAAGTTTTTAATTTTTGTGAAAATTTTTAAAACAATTTTTTTTTAATTTTTGGGAAATTATTTTTTAAAAATATTTCTCAATTTTTTGAAATATATTTTTTGTATAGGCGTATATTAAAAAATATTTTTCAAACATTTTTAAAAAATATTTTTTAATTTTTGGGAAAAATTTTATAAAATATTTTTAATTTTTGGAAATTTTTTTTAAACATTTAAAAATAGTTTTTTGAAAAATTTAAAAAAAAATAAAATTTTGGGAAAATTTTTAAAAATTTTTTTAATTTTAAGAAAATTTTTAAAAATTATTTTTTTTTATTATAAAAAATAAAGAATTACTTTTAAATATTTATTTTTTTTTAATAAAATTAAAAAAATATAAACTTATTTTTTAAAAAAATATATATTTTTTTTAATTTTTATTTTTTTAAATGCATTATTAATTTCTCTTTTTTTTTCCCTTTTATCTACAGTCATGCCACCGATGTTATGGAAACCCAAGGATGGCAAAATATGATCACAACACATTCACATCTAATTGCCGAGGCATTTCGTGCGCTTGCAACACAACAAATCCCACCGATTGGACCACCCAGGAAGCGAGTAAAAATGAGCTGAAATTTCAATAGTAGTAGAAGACAACAGCAACAACAACAAAAACAGCAGCAGCAGCAACAATTGCAATTGCAACAAAAACAACACATTATAGATAATCAAGAAAAAGAAAAATTTTATCATAATAATAATAATAATAGAGATAATAATAAATACTATAAATATTATAACTACAACAACTACTATAATTACAGCAACAAGAAAAACTATTATTATAATTATTTCTATTATTATAACATAAAATGCAAAACAACAACAAAAACAAACAATTTGAAACAACCAATAACAAAACCAACCTTACATTGTACGATTATGATAATAAAATATTTTTTTAAAAATTTCATCAACTATAACAACAAACAAATGCAAATAATTAAAATAAATTTAGCGGATATTTTCAATAGTAATAGAACAACAACAACTACAAACAAATCCCTTATTAGCAACAAAACCAATAACAACAACAAACATCATAGTAATAACAACAGCAAACATTTATCACAAACATATGTCTCCAATATAGCAAGCAACAACATCACCACCAACACAATGCATAACTACTACAACAACAATAATAATAACAAAATGAACTACTACAATTGTTTTAGTCAACTAATAATAAACTATTTTTTGCAACAATTACAACTTGTTCAGTATTTATGCTTCTTTGTCTTCTTGTGACTAGAATTTGAATTGTTTTAAAACTCATTCCTCCCCACAATATTTAATATTCTTCTGTATTATTATTATATTAGAAATTTATCAATGTCGTCGCCATCTTGATGTTTAATATTCTATTTAGAAAAACAAAACCAAAAAAAAAAAGAAAATTAAATGAAAATAAAATAAAAGCTGAACAAGTTGTAGTTTTGTTAACTGGACAAACAATTTGAAGAAGATCATAGTATGCAAATTAAGAAAAAAAAAACAACTAATTTTTTGATGTAGTAGATCATTGCGTGAACCAAAAACAACTAAAACAAAAAGTTAATTCAATGCAAACAATTCAACTCAAAAATGTAGAAATGGATTTAAGAATATTTACCTTTTTTGTTTCATTATTAGAAAAAAAAACCTCAAGTGAATACATTTACATAGAAAGTAAACTTTATCCCCTCAATTTCCCCACCCAACACCACCACTACCATCATAAAAAAAATTGAAAACTAAAATTTAAAATACCCTATTTCAAATTGCTTTGTAAATGTAAATTATATATTTCACATTGTTGTTGTTGCTTATATATATCATTGGGACATTGTTTGGTGATAATCAAAATTTTGTTTGATTCATTTTTTTTTTTATTTTTTTGTTAATTGGCTTTTTATTGTGTGTTTGAATACAATTTTGACCTTCAAAAATCATACCTACAGTTACATATTTTCTAAATGTTTTTTTAATTCAGTTGATTACCAATTTTATTTCAATTTGGAGGTGAACAAAGAAAATATTTTTCATGAGAATATTCTACATCATCTCTCGCGTTCCCCGTGTGTTACAAAAGAAAATTTATACAAGTTTTGTGTATTAGAGGGGATAGATAAAAGGCCTTTTGAATCCATTGCTAAGGAGTTAATAATTCCAAAAACCAATTTTGTTGTTCTATATACATTTTTTGTAAACAAAATGCCTGATCTCACCTTAAAAATATATACATCTAGGTTTCACAAAGTTTTATGTTATTTCCTATCATGTTTGATGATTGAAAACGCGGCTATATAATAAAAAATTTCTTTTAAAATTATTCTAAAGAGATAAGAAGAAGAGACACACAATTTAATGAAGTTAATGAATTCAACAAGGATACAAATAAAAAGTTTTACAATTGTGTGTACCTAACCCCCCGGTACAAATGTCAGTAGACTATTGGCCTAACAAAGACACCGAAAAAAATATTTTTAATCAGAATAATTTTGAACTTATAACTCTAAAACCCTGGGTTTTTGATAAACAGATAATATAAGAAAATACATTTTTTTACATTTTTATGAACCCAAAAATTAATGTTTGTGTGGACCCAATCTAGGTGCAAATGGCAGTAACAATGGTAAAAAAAAAAGAAATCAATGGATTTTGAAAATTGTTTTCTTTATCTGTATTATCAATCCCAAGGGCTAAGATAATAAAAGCCTTTCAATCCTTTTTGGCATGGACTTTAGAAATATCGCAGTCATTGGCCAAATTCTGGTATTTCATATGCGAAAATTTATTATTAGGCTAACAAATCCAAATGCAAGACAAAAAAATATATCTCTGGAACCTAGGGATTTTTCGTGATTTAGGTATTTTTCGTGAATATCTTTGTGGACTCTACGTACCGAAAACAATTTTGGAAACATTTAAAACTGATATTTTTAGGAACTAAGAAACCATAAATGTTTAGTATTCTGGAATATGGATTTTTAGACAATCAAATCCAAACGCAACAACTTTTAAAAAATTCGTTTTTTTTAATCTAACCAATCCGAAGTTGTGGATCTTTTTATGAATATTTTTATAAGATCCTTCTATATCAGTCCATATATTTTTAGGATTCTGGATATTGGTATGGACTACCAAAGCATGGATTTTTTGCCCTCAAATCCAAACGCAAGACCTTTTTAAAAATTCTTTTTTTAATCTAACCAGTCCGAAGTTGTCGATTTTTTTATGAATATTTTTATAAAATCCTTCTATATCAAAAATTGTTGGGACACATTGGAGGAATATCAAAGGCACGGTTCTAAACTTTTTAACTCTTTTGAGGGGCTATCGGAGGCTCTGTTCTGGTTTTTATGAATGTTTTTATTTTTTTATGGAATATCAGACCCAAGGGGTTTACAAAAAATTGGTACTGCCGTAATAAGGAATATTTTAAAGCCATTTATTTTATTTTTTTCTAGGGATTACATCGATAGCTTTTTATAAAAATATATTTCTGAATACTAAGAAATCATTAATATTTATTAGTATTTTTGGGAAATCTGGAAGCGTGGATTTTTAGGGAGATACCCAAACAAAAGAGGCGAGATTTTTAAAGGAAATTTAATCCGAGGTTATTTATGGACTACAATACATATTTGTTCGGATTTTTGGGAACATCTGGAAGCATAGATTTTTAGAGGTATACCAAAACAAGGCTAGGGTTTTAAAAAGGCATTGATTTAAACTTGACATCCCATTTTTTATATTTCTCAATTAACCTCTAATTTGAGGTTATATTTTTGCAAAGCAAATTTAGAATAAATCTTCCTTTCTTAATTTGTATCTATCAAAATCTGCGGGTCTATGGGAACTACCGCTATTGATTTAATATCACAATGGCGTAGATTTAATGTTGACATCCCATTTTTATGTATTTAAATTAACTTCAAATTTGAGGTTATATTTTTCATTGTAAATTGAGGTTAGATCTTTTATAGCAAATTTAGATTAGATTTTTCTTACTAACGTGTTTGGAAATTGGTGGTATATTGCATGGATAATCATGGGGTATATTTCGTGTTAAAAAAAATATTTGTTTTCCTATCCAGATATCAACAAACTATTGAGGTTAGGCCTTCTATAGCACATTTCAAGGTGTTCTTTTAATATTGAGTGTGGGTATTTTTTTTTGTAATGTTTCTTAAACAAATAACAGATTAAAAAAAAATACTTTCTCCAAAATTTTCAAAATTAGTTTCCTTATTTTTTTCAATTTTTTCTTTCAAAAATTGAGGTTATGTTTTTTGGTAGTTAAATAAAAAATATATATATTTAAGTATTTCTTTAATTTCCCAAAAAATAAAATTCATTTTATTTTATTTCGAAAATTTAGTACAATTTTGGACCTTTTTGTAATGTTTCTTAAACAAATAACAGATTGAAAAAAACTACTTTCTCCCAAATTTTCAAAATTAGTTTCCTTATTTTTTCTATTTTCTTTCAAAAATTGAGGTTATGTTTATGGTAGTTAAAAAGAAAGAAATATTTAAGTATTCCTTTACTTTCCCAAAAAAATACAATTCTTGTTTTATTTTGCAAATTTAGTACAATTTTTGATTTAAGATTTTAAAAGTTAGATTCCTTATTTTTTTCTTTTTGGTTTCTAAAATTGAGGTTATGTTTTTGGTAGTTAAATAAAAAAAGAAATATTTAAGTATTCCTTTACTTTACCAAAAACAAAAAAAAAAAAACAATTTTTATTTTGAAAATTTAGTACAATTTTGCTAGCTGTGAGAGTTCCCATGCCTTTGAACAAATTTTATTTAATTTCAGGATAGGTTAACATTTTGGCACCGGCATAAACAATTTCATTAAATTTTTTAAGGTTAGGTATTTTCTCTAGCAGTGTGTGAGGTGAAGCCTTCTTGAATATACATATAAGGAATCAAAATGTTCCGATTTCAAGGGCCATTTTTGCTAAGACTTTATCTGTCCTCTTTAGGTGAATATCATGTGTTATGTGTTAGGAAATTTAACTAAATGCAAAAAAAATATCAAAATTTATTTACGTACACTATTTAAAGGTGTTGTCCACATATTCTTCAATTGATATCATTTCAAACATAATCCCAGAATCTGTCCACTTTAGGTGAATATCACTTAACATGAGGTTATATATAAGATTGAGGTTATGTTTTTAGGAAATATAAATAAATAAATAACAAAATATATTCTTCGATTGATAAAACTTCGAACATAATGTCAGAGAAATGCACAATCGTTTATATAGAATCAATATATATTTCAATGATTTAGGTGTGCCAAAGATGTTTTATTTTAGGGCATTGGATCACATAAACCCAACTCGGTTTGGAAAAGAAAACATCCTACACAAAACCTACGACTTTTCTTTTGTAACATTTTGGAAATACTGGAGGAATGATGATATTATAACATATTTCAATTTTGTTTAAATTTTTTTGTTTATCAAATGTTGTTCAAATTCTCTATTAAGGTTTCAACACGCAGAAAATTACAAAATATCAACAACAACGCCAACAAATTTGCAAGTAATATTTCTTTATTTAAATAATTATGAATTTGGTTTTCTTTTGTATAAAGAGGGAAGACATGAGTGTAGAGCAGGAGCTATTTTGAGTATAATACAATGTAACAATATAATGTGTTTTAATTTTATAATGTTGTTAATA